GATCTTTGAGGACCAAGTCTGCTAGTAAACAAAATGTGTTTGTTTTGTTTGTGTAAAGTATGTAAAGCACATGTATGTAGTAGCAGAACAGTGGTACATATTCATATGTACATATACATATACATGGAGTACCCAGATTGATGTAGGAGCTGTTCTGCAATTGAGGAAAATGCTGACATTGAAACGTGCAAAGGTTTCAGCACAACTGATGAATCAGCTTTGTATGCATGGAAAGAAACTCCCCACTGGTCCAAAAAAGGCCACCTAGATCTAAATAAATCTGCACTCAGGTCTATAAATATTAAATTAAATTAAATTAAATCAACTATTTTAGTAGTCTACCCCAGCATATTGGCGTTCAAACCAAATAATACATTGTGGTAACAATGCATAGAACTTTGTCGATACTTAATGCACTTTCAAGTTACATTCAACTAAATATCCACTAAAGTTTTCTTTAACTCTAAACTGGCTCTAATCCTAACCCTAGCCTTAACCTAAACCCAGCCCTCACCCTTGTTCTAGCACTATCACTAGTCCAAATCCTAAAGCCTAATCCCACCACTGTTTAGAATCGAGTTTCAACAGATAGTTTGTTAACAATTTGAACATCTGTAGATCATCTATAGGGGACTACAGTGGACTATCCAAATAAAGTGAGACCTAAATTATACAGGGAGATTCACGCGAAAGAGGCCCCGAATGTTCTGTAATAACTCTCTCTAGGATGAAGCAATCTGAACCAAACAACGTGCAATGAGCTCCTCAGTATATGGAGCTTCAAACAAGCTGGGATGCCCCTGAGTCGGAACGATGAGGTAGGTAATTCAATAGATTACACATACGTTAAGGTATGTAGCGTATTTTTTGGTTCAGATTCCTTCATCCTAACGGGAGTTACAGCTGAATATTCGAGTGAATCTCTCTGTAGCTCAAAGTGCAGGCTTTAATTTGAGGATATTTACATCCAAACTGAGTATAAGGTGCAGGAATTACAACTATTTTCATTCATAACAATCCCCAATTTTAATATTTGGTTGCAAATCCTTTGTAGTAAATGACTGTCTAAAGTGTGGGACCCACAGACATAACCGAAGACTGGGTTTCTTCTCTGGTGATGTTCTGCTAGACCTTTATTACATCTTCAGTTCCTGCTTGTTCTTGACCTTCAGTTTTGTCTTCAGTAAGTGAAATTCATGCTCGATTAAGCTGAGGTCAGGCGACTGACTCAGCCATTGTAGAAAATTCCACTTCTTTGCCTTAAAGTCTTTGGGTGCTTTCACAGTGTGCTTTGGGTTCATTGTCTATCTACACTGTCTTCCATATGTTTTGAAGCATTTTGCTGAATCTGAGCAAAAATATAATCCTGTACATGTCACAGTTCATCCTGCTGCTTTTGTCAGCAGTCACATCATCAATTCGTACTGGGGAATCAGTTCCATTGGTGGCCATATACATGCCCAACCCATAACACTACCACCACCATGCTTTACAGTTAAGGTAGTATGCTTTGAATCATGAGCAGTAACTTTCCTTCTCTATATTCTTCTCTTCCCAGCATTCTGGTACAGATTAATTTTTATCTCATCTGTCCATAAGATGTTTCAGAAAAGAATTTACTTTTTTGCTCTTCCTGTTTTTGAGGCTTACCAGTGGTTTAAATCTTGCGGTAAACCCTGAATTCACTGAAGTCTTCTCCTGAATGTTTAATTAGACACAGATATGTCTACCTCCTGGAGGGTGTTTTTGACAGAATGCTTATGCTGACTTATTTCACTGGCAGTGAAGCTCTTTGGACTTACAACTGAAAGCTAACAGCAACAGTTTCCAAATGTTGTCCATACGTGAAATCAGCTCTAAGCCTTTTATCTGCTTTCTTGTAAGTGAAATAATAAAGGAATGGAACAGTTGAGCAGCCAATTGTCCAATTACTTTTGAGCCACTAAAAATGGGGAGAGGGGTTTCTACATGAAAATGGTTGTAATTCCTACACTGTTTAATCAATTCAGATGTAAATACCCTCAAATTAAAGCTGAAAGTCTTGTGAGCTTATATTGATTTACTTTCAACTGCAGTAGGCAGCTAAAATAACAATAACTCAGTCTCCTAATATTTATACTAAATATTTAAATAGCATTTTATTTTCAATACTTCAAATATGATGTAGGCCTATCACTTAACAAGAACACACAGTGTCATTGATGCAAAGCACCACGTGCTATTTTAGGGCTAACAGCTCCCTCTTGTGGAGAATCTTCAGCTTGCTAAATGTGAATGAGTAAGTGAGTAATTTACAAGCCAGGTCAGTTCCATTCTGAGTCAAATATTCTTCCAATCTGCCCTCACGTCCTCTCCCTCCACCTTCTAGCTTCATTCAGGAAATGTGAAAGGAGCCAGAGTCCATATCATATCTGTATGGGCTTATGCTACAGAAATTCAGCATCATGTCAAACCAGCTAATCCTTTTATACCAGCTGCTTGGATCTATTTTTTTCCACTTGTCGTGAGCATCATGCCACTAAAAGCATTGACAAAATACTACTATGATGGTTTTCATTTGTGGCAGCAAAGCATCGCAAACATGTTTCACTTTGCAGGTAGTGCCGCTTCAGGTACACCACAAAAAACCAGTGTCAAAACAGAAGAAAAACAAACCTAAATCAGGAAAACAGGTATCTGAATCAAACAAAATCATCTGATATTATGGTGAGAAAGTTTTACATAATAAAACATCTTAAAATAAAAAAAAAAATCTTGTGCTGAAAAATATTTTAACACCTTAAAGCTAGATTGAAGTAACACTAATTTGATATGATGTCATAATAATATTCTAAAATAAGCAAAAACTAACAGGAATCTTGTTTCAGCCATTTTCTCAAAACTTCATTCGATACAATATTTCTTGCGAAAAGAAATGCTTTCAAGCTCAATACTAGTGAAACTTTGCTTTAACATTTTTAGTAAACAATAATATCTTTAAAACAGTCATAAGTTCTGAAGCTCTCGATGATGAAAGAAGAAATTTTCCATCAACTTTACTTATTTGAAGAATGCAATGTTTGGAATGCTTTAAAGTCTATAAAGGCCTCATTCAGTTATTTTGCTTCTATACTGTGTTATTTTGCTTCTATATCTTTTATTAGACAATCATGTTCAGTGCTCACTTTTAGGAAGCCTCTAAAACCATATCTCCTTATCTCAGCGTTTAATTAAAGCTCTACGTCTCATTGTATGTATCTTTCAATTTGATCTGTGTCTTTATGATTCTAAATTAATACTTATAATTTCTTGTATTACTGTTAAGCATTATCACTTGCCTGTAAAGCACTTTGAGCTGCGACTGGCATGAAAAATGCTCTATAAATAAAAATTATTCTTATTTTTATTACTAAAAGCCAGACTTCTCTCCAATTAAATTCCTAAGATAAGTAAAGATGTCTTAAAATTTCCTCTTTCAGAGTGGAGAGCTTTTAAATGAAAAAGTTTAACACTTCATTTGAAGAAAGCTGTTATAAATAATAATAATTAACTCATTCGTCCAAGTAAAATAACTGTAGGCTGTTCTGAAAGCTATTAATCTTATACATACTGATCTAGTCTAGATATGTTAATCTTTAAATTATTTCATTTTCTGGCTTGTTAAGATTTCATTTGTGTAATGTATTGGTAAAAATCATGCGATTTGAAAGTAAATGCATGCAGAGAATGGCAATGTGGAATCATACATGTAGTAGAATCATACCAGAAACAGTTTCTCACAATTCCTAATAAGAAATAATGGTAATACTTTATTTGGATGGTCCACTGTAGATGGCTTGTAGATGCTCAGTGTATCTTTAGGTAACATTCAACTAAAAATCTGTTTAATGCAACTGAACTTGAAGTTCAGTGTGAAAGAGTTTATTAAATCTATCCCTAATCCTAAACCTAACCCTAGCCTTAATGTTGTTGATGTTCAACTGAGTATTACCAGAAAGGTTGATAATGATTTAAGTATCTATAGATCACCTGTAGGGGACCATCCAAGTAAAGTGTGACCAAAATAACCCATCAAATATCAGCATAACTTATTGAATCCCCCACTTTGCCTCACCTGGTCATGCCACTGTACTAGACATATAGCTAGAAAATATAAGTTCAGTAGGATTTTATGCAGAGCAGTTCCGGTGTCTATCAGTGACTATTTCATAGAAATGTGAAACATATTGTGACTTCATATATACAAAGATTTAAAATATTTAAAAAAGTACAGGCAATAGAGGAAACTAAACTGCAATCCCGATGAAATTTTAACACTATAGAGACTAAAGGGATGAAAAGATGTGCTTGGTTGTCTTGTGTTTCCTTTTGATCATATTTCCTCACAACACAGAGTAACAGCCTCTGATTGAGTCCATGAGTCTGCTTTCCTGCATGGTTGAAAAAGATCTCGCCTTGGTATTCAAAGCATGAGCATCGCTATTCAATAAGCACTTGGCATTTACAGCAGCTTCAAGTTCACCAGACCTCTAAAGCCAGTAGAGAATACAGAAAAGGGAAAGGAAGAGAAAACGGAGAGGGAGGAGGAACTGTTGCCAACAAGGAGGGGCAGAATGATGAAGAGAGAGCGAGACAGATCAAGAAAAATAACAGGAGTAAATGTGAAAAAGTGAAGCAGTGGGAGAATTTCCAAAAGAGAGATGGAAAGAAGATGGGTTTTGGCTCTAAAGCTGCTGCCGATGGCAACAGACGCCAAACAGGTGCCAGCATGATGAACACTGCATATCAAAGTCTCAGAATACCTTACTTTATTGAGTTATTGCCGTTTAACAAAGAATGGATAAAGCACTTTTGTTATATTTGCCACACATTAATCAAGGAGTTTCCAGATGGCTTCCACCAATAAGTCAAAGCCTGTTTTGGTTTATCGCCCACACTTTGCTTACGTGGGAAATCATGTAAATTAGTGTTTTGCTTCAGCAGTTCTATTAAGAGATAATGAGGTGGTGATGTGTGCTTACCTCATTCGCATACACCCAGTGACTGTCTTTGGATGCCAGGTTTGTCTCTACAGCCTGAGAGAGAGAGAGAGGGAGAGAAAGAGAGAGAGAGATAAGTGAAATGAACTTTAAACATCACCCTTTACAAATTGCAATTGTTGCTGGTTGAGGTCAAAGCATTGTGTAAATCCATTTTAATTATTCTTGCTCATTGGTTGCTCATTGAATCAGGCAGGGAAATGTAGCTGAAAATTTGGATTCGAAATTTTTAATTAATACCTTATTTGTGTTAGTAAGTTCAAGTCTAGGGGGTCTAGTCTCGTACTATATCAACATAAAAATAAAATAAAAACTGACTGACTGAATGAAACTATCTTTTAGTACTACATAAAACATAAATGATGCTAGTAACATCTGTAATAACATTTCTATAAACCTATTCATGAACTGTGTCAGTAGTTGTTTTGATGCTGCTCTTCGCTGGGTCCAACCTCAGATAGAAAAATTTGCTAGCTAACATCTCTGAAGAACATTTGTTTTCACCCTAAAGTCTCTACCAGTGTTTTTGTGACACTGTGTATTTCTCTTTGGTAAAACTTTACAATAACAGTTGTTAGCAATTCAGCAGGATTAGTCAGGAGACTTGAGCTTCAGAGTTGACTGGAGTTTATTTACACATACAGGGAATCATGCATGGGTGCAGCATAGTTGATTAACAGTCTGTCACCAGTCTAACAATAAATATTTTAGGATGAGCTTATATACTTTGAGAACTGTGGGAGTGGAAAGAGGAGGATATGAAAGGAGATGTAGGGGGCAGAGATGATTGTTATCACCTTAAGATCATGAGATAAAGGGTCATTTCACTACATACAAATTCAGATCATTATATCAAATATGCTTGCATCTGAGAGATTACACTTAAGTAACATTTAACTCATTAGTCAACACATGGTTATAGCTAATTAAGAGAAGATCTTAATAATGCATTACTATGGCATTTATGAATTGCTCTCTAAAAGTTAATATATTGTTAAGAAGCATTTTATTAGACTGTTGAGCTACAGCACCTTTCACTGAGCATAAATTCACAAAGGCTTTACTCTTTGGGGGGAAATGTCCTCCTCTCAGCTGAAATGAAGATTAATTGATTTTGCTGCTAAGTTGACTCTCTATTTCTTTGTGTCTACAGATCAGTAGTCCATGCAGTTTAGGGAGGGTGGAGTTTTTTTCTGATGTAAATAAGCTGAATGGTATCAATAAGTGGTGGGTCGTCACCCCAGCGCTTTGAAAAGTGGTGGGTCAAATGCCCACTTGGTTCTGGCAGCCTTGAGACTAGAGGTTTGTAATTTGATGTTGTTATTGTTTTTGTTGTGTATTTGTTTTGTGGGAAAAAAATCACATTTTGCCAAGATTTCTCACTTTTTGACATCTCAACAAACACAACAAGCTGTCAAGTCAAATATACAGACAGCTGACAAAGGAAAAACTTGAATAGATGAGTGGACAAACATGACAAGTGCAGATGCTTTCAGACAGGTGGACTGCGTAATACAATTAAGCAATTAACGTCCTACCATGCTCTGTCGCATGTATAAAACGCTGAGCAGGCACAGACCTTGAAAGAGGGTTCATTATTGGAGCACGGATGGCAGGAACTTTGGTCACAAAGACTGCTCACCTGAGTAGTGTTTTAAATGGAACAGTGGCTAAAGTGACCTGTGTTTAGATCACATCAGTAAACAGGTGTTGGAAATTGTGGTAGAGAGCGCAGGACGTGATCAGACAGCAAGAACAGTCTGTTCACAAGTCCACAGAGAGGGATATTGTAGTAGGGCTGCAGAGCTAAAACACCTCAACACTTAGGCCCAATCCCATTTCTTATTTTTACCCCTACCACTTGTTTTCGAGTGTTTCTTTGCACCTTAGAACTGAGTTACAAGGGGTAGTGGTTAAAATCTTCTCGATGAAAGGGGACCCCTTAAATAAAAAGAGCATTGCTTCATGAAAAGGCTGCTAGCGGTGCTTTGTATCACCTTTATTCCTATCCTCAATGGTATCACTTTCTGCATGATGTTCTATCTACAGGATATGAGGGGTCACTGACAATAGTTTGATGGGTATGAAATATGCTGTGGACATCATCAAATCACAACCAAATTGTACAGCTATGGGAGATTTTGGACCGAGCCCTGGACCACAATCATCAAAACATCAATTAAAGACCTATCTTTTGGAAGGATCAATGCCAAGGCACAGTGAAACTGTTCTGGAGGCTTGAGGCGGCACAACACCTTACTTTATCACTTTATATTGGTTTTTCGTTTGACCCCTTACATGGCCAGGGCCCACCGGAGTGAACAGAGCAGGTGCATAGGGTAATTCCATGATCTTCCCTTGAGTTACCTGGCTACACTGCCTATAACTGTGGCAGGCTCTTCTCTGGCTTATGAAACAAATTCTGGTTGGCTCAGTCCCTTCTAACCTGGGGCCTGTACAACCTCCCCAAGACCCTTACCAATAACACCAGGGCATGTTTGACACAGTGACTGAAGAGGCACTGGAAGCTCCTGTGTGAGCTCCTAGAATGCCTGTTTCCCAATCACTATAAATCAGGATTCCCCCACCAATGTGTAGGAACTTCTGTTAGGCTCCCGTCATACCCCCACCACTGGGAGTATATACCCTTTCAATGGACAGAGGCCACCAGCAGGCCCAAGGTTTTATTACACACTTCTACAACCTAAGATTAATAGCTCAGCCAGTTTGCACTGAAGCCCCTGTAGTTACTGAATAATAAGGCTTAGTATGTCCTTCAATGCAACTCAGTGTGTAAACCACTCAGCCATAACATTATGACCACCTCCTTGTTTCTACACTCATTGTCCATTTTATCAGCTCCACTTACTATATAGGTGCACTTTGTAGTTCTACAGTTACAGACTGTAGTCCATCTGTTTCTCTGCATACTTTGTTAGCCCTCTTTTACCCTGTTCTTCAGTGGTCAGGACCCCCATGGACCATCACAGAGCAGGTACTATTTGGGTGGTGGGTCATTCTCAGCACTGCAGTAACACTGACGTGGTGGTGGTGTGTTAGTGTGTGTTGTGCTGGTCTGAGTGGATCAGACACAGCAGTGCTGCTGGAGTTTTTAAACACCTCAGTGTCACTGCTGGACTGAGAATAGTCCACCAACCAAAAATATTCAGCCAACAGTGTCCTGTGGGCAGCATCCTGCGACCACTGATGAAGGACTAGAGGATGACTGTCACAAACTGTGCAGCAGCAGATGAGCTATCGTCTCTGACTTTACATCTACAAGGTGAACTGACAAGGTAGGAGTATCTAATAGAGTGGACAGTGAGTGGACACGGTGTTTTAAAACTCCAGCAGCACTGCAGTGTCTGATCCACTCGTACCAGCACAACACACACTAACACACCACCACCACGTCAGTGTTACTGCAGTGCTGAGAATGATCCACCACCCACCTGCTCTGTGAGGGTCCATGGGGGTCCTGACCACTGAAGAACAGGGTAAAAGTTATGTAGAACTACAAAGTGCACCTATATGTTAAGTGGAGCTGATAAAATGGACAATGAGTGTAGAAATAAGGAGGTTGTCATAACGTTACGTCTGAGCGATGTAAACAATATGCAACTACATCTTTGCATTTGAATAGTACGGCAAAGTAAAATACACTTCTGAAGTAGTTAAGACCCAAATCAACAGAAGTTTCATTTGCATTTCAGTGGAGACCGACAAGAAAACAAACAAGCCAAGCAATAAGCAAAGCCTTTAGCACTCCAACTGTGCTCTGCTTTCCAGCTGTGCAGCCATGCTTCTCTAAGCTATTCATCTCAATGTCCTAATATGGATAGAATCACACATTCGTAGCCTCCATTACACACTCATGCACACACTCCTGTTGCAGAGATCTGATTTATGTGCATGTGTATGTCGCATTTTTCATACCAACCGCCATTCTGCTTGTTTTTATCTGGCTCCTAATGAGACCAACCCTGCAGGCAGATAACCTAAGAACCTTTTAAGTCTTAATGTACATGTTAATCCTGCATTTATCACTGACAAGAAAAAGGGGAAAAGAAACAAGACATCAGCAGATAGAAGCTCCATGCAATGTTTATTAGTTTTTTTTTTTTTTTTACTTCCATAAATCACTTGCAAACATCACCTGACTTAAGTCACTTCAGCTCATGTAGTTCTTTCTAAACTTTTTAACTGTCTCAGCTGCCTAGCTTTCCTGCCCAACTGGTCCAAGGGCAATGAGAATTACAGCATGTGGGCTTACATGAACAGAAGCATCAGGAACTACAGTAGCCTCTGGAAGCAAAAAGCTCCTGTCTATTTTTACATGAAACATCATAAGTCACACTTGTCTATCAGCTATTAACACACACTGTCTGTAAATGTACAGTATCGTATTGGGAGCAGAGTTGCCAGGTATTTACGGCACTCATATAGTTTTGTTTGTTTGCAGTTATGATGAACTGTATTGTATTTTAAATTGTTAAATATTGACAGCAGTATTACCGAAATCAACAATAGCCTCTACTCTTTCAAAAGCTAATGAACTTACTCTTCTAGTAATGCTTACAGTTGGTCTTTAAGGCCGCGAGGATGATTAACGCAAACTGCTTGGCAATAGATGAGCTATCGTCTCTGACTTTACATCTAAAAGGTGGACTAACAAAGTAGGAGTGCCCAAAAGAGTGGACAGTGAGTGGACACAGTGTTTAAAACTCCAGCAGTCACTGCACTGCACAAATAATCCAGACAATAGGCCTCATTCACCAATATCTTCCTAAGTTTTGTCTTAAATTTGAAAGAAGAAGTCTGTGTCAGATTCATGACGTGTTCTTAAACTGCTGGATTTGTGTGCTTTGTGCTCTTAAATGTGCGTAGATTCTGTTCTTACCTAAGAGTAAATCCCATATAAGAAAACAGTGTCTGGACTATATAAGCAGAATAGTATATCCAGTGTGAAATCACTCAAACAGCAGATGCATGCAGAATATTTGCTTTGCTGCTTAATCTTCGTGTCTGAGATGGGC